ACTGCATCAACTTTACCCAAGTGCACTCTGTGCTTAACATGCTAAACCCTTCAGTTGGTGCTCTTTTTTTTAGAAAGACTCCTACAGCAGCTGAATAAATCACCCAACCACATCTCTTTGCAAGAATTACGACTAGACCAAAAAGAAGACTGAAGAGTGTCGACTGTCACGGACTTTCAACCACAGTCACCAGATCTCAACTTGAAAGCACTTGAAAAATGAGGAAGCCAAACATTGCAGATAGCCAAAGAAGCTCTTTGGGACATCATCTAATCATCCTAACACGAATTATAGGATTTGCTTTAACCTTTACAGACAACCTTTTATTGTCTTTAACAACCAGCTACTTGTCTAGTGCTCAGTCCAATTCATCCCGATAGGCTCTCACAATACAGTGCACCACATGACCCTGCAATTATCAGGAGCTGCATGTAAATTCATATAATGTTAGCAAGGGTAGCGTTAAAATACCCTGAACTAAGTCCCACATTTTAAGGTCCTGTCACAATAAATGCTTCAGGTTTATAAATCAGAACTTCATAAAGATCTACGCAGAACGGAAAAAGAATCAGGAAGAATCCAAAGTGCAGGATTTGTTCCGTCTTTTAGTGTTTTTATGGTGCATAAACGCCCTTCTTTTATGAAGGCTGGTGTGTCCTAGTTAAACTGCAATCCCATGCCTCTAGCCTTGTCTGGAACACCCCGATCATAAGCATGATTCCTATTTTTGTTAGTCTTCAAATGATAACGGCCAAAGAAACGGAACGGGCATTGCAGAAAACATGACAACAGAAATTACTCCAAGTAATTAATAAGCTTGCTCTGATGAAACAGAGCATTTCTCTGCCTCATGTTGATTCTCAACACATTAGAGGAGAAATAGCTGGCAGGCGCTCAGGGCAAAACACCCTAAAGGTCAAACAGAGCAGACAGAGCTCAAAAATGGTTTGCTGAAGTTTAGTAACCAGGGGTTATACTCACATATTCCTTCACATTCTTCGTTTTGACGGCCTTATACGAGGAGTACGCCGGGTAGAGCGTCCCAAAGGCAAGGCTGCAAAAAAAGCAGACAAGACTGGGTCAGAGGAAGGGGCTTCAGCTTCAGCTAGAGAACATGGCCTCTGGGTGTTGACTCTGACACCTCACAAACGCACTCCCACACAGCAGCCACATCTGCTCTGAGCTTCTATGAAACACAAAAGGACGACATGCACTTGAGCAGAGCTCAAGTGCATGTGGTTTTAATCCGCATGGTGATGCCACGAAAGAAGTGCTGGGCAGTGACTTGTCAAAACAAAGTGGCCTGATAATGAGTAGAAACAATGTAATGGAGTCAGGAAGACTGCAGTGAGCTAAAATGGAAAAAACACACAGTTTCCACCAGGGGTGGGTCACCATGTGTTAGAACACGTGCACACTGGGACATTGTGCAAACACAGCCTTGTTTTTGATGTGCATTTGATCGCATCCTCTGCCACTGTGCTGATATGTGCTGATTTGACAGGATACTGAACGCTGAGTGAGGCGACTGCAGGGAGAGCTCAGATCAGAAGGGCCATGCAAGTTTGCCTACAGTGCAAACCAATAGCTGGGTTTAAACCCTTAATGTAAATAAAGGTTGAATGCCAATTACAGAGGTAGCCTAGCATCTATTTTTTTCCCCCCCTTCCTTAAGTAGGTCTTCTGTCCCAGTGTTCGACTACGCTGCTCAGTGATGTGTGCTGCTCCGTACAGTGAGCCGACATGACTCGTAGCAGGCCTCCGAGCCAGCGGGCTCCCAGAGCAGACGCCCTGTGCCTCTTTGTGTCCTCATTGAAAGCCCACTACTGACCTTACGGTCACTCTGTCCTCTTGTTCAGTCTAGGAAATATTTTAGTGTTCACTTCTTTAGGTTAGACTAATAAACTAGCTGTAAAAACAGGAGAAAAGAAACAGGCTGGCCACCCTTTAAAAACTGGGCCAGATGCACATTTAAAGCACAAAGACAAGAAATGACTAATCTTGTGTGCTGGATAATCAGCGGGCATTATGATGCATATTCAAGTCACATTGTTTGCCTTCAGTAGACACATGACTACCTGAGGTGTAGTGAAGTGGAAGATGCAGGCAGCTGGAAGCCAATAACAGTAACAGTTTGCTTATGTAATCAAGGAAAAGCAGAACATTTATAGGGATGAAGCATCATTTCTACACCTGGGCCTTCCAAAGGCATCATGATGTTCGACTTTAAGGTTAGCAGTTGATGAGCACACAGTATCTGGACATTTCACTAGAGATGGGACAGCACCGGTGCAGCACTGTGAAGTGTCTGCATAATGGATCAAGATAATGACAGCTGGCTTTAGTTGAGTCATCCACACAGTGTGGATGTGGCGTGTTCAGGTGGAGGCCTAGAAGTGATCTGCTGATACCGCTTGTCCGTCTTATTAAGCCCCACTGCTAGTGGCATATGAATGGATGGACACACATCCCTGGCTGGGCTGTTGGGCTTCTTTAGCCTTGCACCACATTTTACCAACTCGTGTTGGTACGGCGCCTAGTTACATTCACAGAGGGCTATTTAAAAGTAAAAAGCAGTGGCTGGCAGCTCGGAGTCTGTTTACTTGTGTGCAGCGAGGCTGGCATGTTAAACAGGCTGCACTTTCCCTGCCAACACATTATCTGTCAGGTGGTTACAGTTACTGACTAGCCAGCCCGCGTTAGCTACGAGCGGCTAGCAAGCGCTGGATGCAGATTGTGCTGCATCATTGTGCTGATTAAAGAAACGGCGGTGGTTATTGAACACAGGAGCTTTAAACGCCCCTCTCTGAATGCCAGGATATCTAATGTATTTATTTTTCCCCTACACGTGAAGTGTATGTATAAAAAGGACAAGAAACGGACAGCCTAGCTAGTCGGCGTTCAGCATCACACAGCTGATGAAAGGAGCCGTTATGGTGTTTAAGAATAAAAAAAACAGATTCAACCCTGCCCATACTCACACAACTATCCTCGAGATAATCCAGGATACCATCTTGCTGGACCGCCAGCCTTCGAGGCTTTCCCCCCAGCTTCTAGGAAATCTAGTCGGCTAGTAAGCGGGCTAGGTGGCCCCCATTCCCCTCCAGGACGAGCTGTGATGAGAGCCAGAAGGCTGCTGTGCCGTCAGGTAGGCTAACAGCAGCTGGAGATGTGCTCTGCAGTGTGTAGCTCCAGACTGCTCTGCTCTCTATCACCACCAACACCACCGCTGATGAACAAGACTGGCTCTTAAAGGGCCAGAGTCACTCTGATAAATCTGTAGTTTTAGCTTCAAAATGTGGCCCATGGTGCTCCTCCTAGTTAACCAGCAGTGGCGCACAATACAACCTTAGTCATCTACATTATTAAACTACTAAAGAACTGATTTCATCCTTTTCTTTCATAATTTTGCTGTGCAATCACAGTCTGCTCACTGACAAGGACCAAAGCCTAGCACAGTCATACCAGGTTTATCCTAGTGAAAACCCACACAGTGCTGGTCTCCTTTTTATGATCATTATTTTTTATTATGTCCATGAGACCGATCTGTGGATAAATGATTTAGGCTCATAAGAGAGGGATTCAACATTTCTCTGAAGACTTAAAGATGTAAACACACTAAACACAGTCCCACAAGATACTGAGTTTAAACATTTGATAAGTTACTCAGTTAAGCAGAAAACTGAGTGAAGAGGTCAACTTATCAAAAAGTAGCCTGTGGAGTCCCATTGATTACTTTATATTTTGTCTCTAAGGAACCAGACTTCCCGTGGGTCTTTCAAAGTTTTTCTTTTGAAAGTGGCTGCTTCTTTAGCGATTTTCAATCCAGTCCTTGTACCCGACCATTGTCAGAGGAATGTTTGTGTTGTTTTCAATTAAGACACTTAACACTAACATATGAAACATTTCCAAGGGATCTACCAATGTTGCATCTTCCAAGTCAAACAAGGACTGGTTTGGGACTGCACTTCAGCCAATGCAAACATACTGCCAATGCAGTAAAGACACAATAGAACTATCAGTCATGGATTGGCCTCCCCAGAGCCCCAAACCTCAACATTATTGAAGCAGTGTGGGATCATCATGACAGAACGAAACAAAAGGTATCCCTGAATGTTGTTTAAGAAGCCTGGGGAAGTATTCCTGAACAATACTTAGTATCACTGCACCCAATTTACATTTTCCCAGCAAATTATAAAGAAATGGGTGACTCAAGACTTTTGCAGAGCACAACATAACTGTGAACTGCATCTCTGTTTTGGGATGTTTGACCAAACAGGCAATCAGATACCAGCAAACTTGTATTTTAATACCATCTACATCTTAGCGGTGCATGGGTAGAGGCTTTATGGGTTAAAAAAAAAAAAAAAAGATCAGAGAAGCAGCAGTTTTTGTAAATTTTATTGTGAAAAATCAAACAGACTGCTAGATCAATATATATATTGATACAATGTTAATGGCCAGTAGTTCTGTTCAGCTGCAATTGTGATTCTTGAACCATGTTGGAAGTCTGCAGTTCATTCAGCCCACATGACAAAGACAAGTGAAAAAAAACTGCCCTCCTTTGAAGCCCCACCCAACCAATTATTACCTTGTGGTGTATAAAAAAAAAATTTAAAAAAAAAAGACTTCTTACTCTAAAAGTGAAATAAGAAAACTAAAAATACAAAACTTTGGTCTGCTTCCCTTGACTGGCTGTTTTCACAAATTCATTTCAGCCACAGAGGGCAGAAACAATCAGCTGTTTAAAAACTTAAACAGAAAAAAAAAAAATCTACAAAAAACAGGTTAACCTCGCTCCTATTGAAGAAAGATAATATCAATGTCATCAAAATAGGAAAGTTAGCCCAGTACTCACATTTTTGTCAGTTGCTTATATTGTAGCTGAACCTCTGCTTCAAAGGCACGTCAGCTTTTACCTCCCTTACTCTCACGTCTTACATGTACAATGAAAACAGAACAAACACACTGACCTTAAATACAGAGTTAACCAAAATCAGAAAAAAAAAAAAAGGAAAACAACTAGACAAGTTTGAGCGTACTGTGTAACAGCGATAAAGGACTTCCTTCATCGAAGCGCTGATTCATCCCTCCCCATCCAATCAAATGTACAGTCTTCCCACACAAACCTTCACTGCCCCCAAAACAACCTACACTATCTCTGTACTCTGCGCTGTGCAGCTGGTACTTGTTTATGTAGGTATGAAATGTATGCGCTGTGTGCATGTAGTGGAGTGGTCTTCAGAGGCCAGCGGTTTGAGGAGACGAGTAAGGGCGCGTTAGTTTGGATTCGTGGGCCTTCAGCGTCCCAATGGCGTCCTTCACTGCGTGATAGATGATGTTCTTCACCTGAGGGTAAAAAATACAACAAAACAGTGGTGAGACAACACCAGACACAAAACACCTCACACCGATAAGAAATGATAACTTTTCAATGCTGCTGTGAGAAAAAAAAAAGTTCTTTTATTATCTTACTTTGAAGAGTATCATCGTGCTTTTCCTTTTATTTAACAAAAACATAGCATTGTTATATGTAAACACATGCTGTGCTGTGTTTGACTATAAAACAGAGACAGAACAATCAGCTTTTCCCAGTGAGAACTCTATAAACATGCTGCTGCGTTATAGTGAAGAATGGCCTCTAATATAAACATCCACCTTTGTAACAGTGTATACACTCACTGATCACTTTGTTACACCTGTTCAGCTGCTGGTTAATGCAAATATCCAATCAGCCAATTACATGGCAGTAATTCAGTGGAGCTACGTGTGTAGACATGGTCAAACTGAGTATCTGAATGGGCAAGAAAGGTGATTTAGGTGACTTTAAACATTTATCTGCTGGGATTTTCCCACACAACAATCTCCTGAGCTTACAGGGAACGGGTCTGAAAAAGTCAGAATTTCAAAGAGCATGAAAACATGGATCCATCCAACTTTAAGCCACTCAGTACTAGCTGAGCAACACTGAAGCAATCTCACAAAGCACTAATCATCTCAAACAGGTTTTTCAAACATGACCAAGAGTTCACTGCACTCAAACAACCTCCACAGTTAACAGATCCCAATCCAATAGAGCACCTGATGTGGTAGAACAGAAGATTCCCGTCATGGATGTAGAAACTGTGTGATGCTGTCATGTCAATGTGAATGAAAATCTGAGGAATGTTTCCAGCACCTTGTTGAATCTATGCCATGAAAAATTAAAACTAATCTAAAGACAACCCCATTACCAGCCAGGTGTAACTAATGAAGTGTCCGCTGAGTGTGTATATATATACACAAGGGTTAACAAAACAGACACAAGAGTGTATGAAAGGTGAACAATATAAATTGTGCCTGTTTCTTTAAACCCTTCAATTTTTAACACTTTATAATGCTTCTCAGGCTTCAGCCCCAGTTTATAGATGACATACTGGTAACCAATCTTAATTTTATAGTTTTTAAATAACTGTCAGCAACTAATAAACTCTTTGTTCCAATAAAAAGATCATAAAACTGTGAACACAGAGTTAAGTAAACTATAGCCTACAGCTTCAAGCGACACAAGCAAACATCGTCCTCTAGTATAAACCATCCAAATAAGACATAAAACTACACACTGAGAGGAAAAACACACCCACCTGGAGTTTATCTTCATGGTTTGTGTGAGTAGTGGACAGGTGTCTGAACTCCTGGGTCAGCCTGAAACAGTGCCTCACATGCTCGGGAGACACAAAGTCCTCCGCCACCTTGATACAGCTGTACAGGTTGTGCACCTGAGTGTGCAGAAAGGACAAATGTGTTCATGGAGGTGTGAGAAAAATCACAAAAAACAGGCAGGTCTGTTGAATCACAGGGTATGTGTACAGCTCCACTTTTCATATAAAAACAGTCTGACCTGGTGGGGAGCTCCAGCAGGGATAAATACAGCATCTCCTAAGAACTGTACAATGGCCCAACCCTGGACGCCATATTCTTCGTAGAGCCTGCGGCGGAGCACCTGGTCCAGGTACCAGCTCTGGTCATGAATCGGGTCGTGATCTGGCGGGTTCTCTTGACCTTGTTCTTCTCCCACCTGCGAAAGGTCAGGACAAGCCATTGCTTAGAAAGAATGAGCTTTTAAGTTAAAGTTCCCCAGCTGGCTAATTTTTGTTTGTGAACTTTAATCATCTTCTGCAGAAATCAAGCTATCGTTCTACCCCAGTTTTATTTATCCAATGACAATCCTGTCCTCACAGTTTATGGTTACAAAATGTTACGGCTACAGCTAGCGACAAGCCAGCCTGAAACAGATCTGCCGGCTTGCTGACCTTGCGAAGCAGCTCCCTGATTTTCTCTGCGTCCTTGGCAGCATAGATGTGCCAGAGAGCTCCAGGCTTCTCCTTTCCCTCGTGCACCCTCCTCTTCGTCATTTCATCCACATCGCCTTCCTCAATGGTGGTCAAGACCTCTGGAGACCAAACATAAACAAACAACAGCTGTAATCAGCACTGTCTCTATAACAGCTGTAAGAGAAGTTAGTTTATTTGACTTTTAGTGGCCTTTTTAAATTAGCTTTTGCACTGTGATTGTTAAATTTTTCCACAGCACTTTAAACACTACTGTGTTTTACTCGATTCCATTTCCATGAATGACTAAGCTAAGTGCTGGGACAGTGATTGGAAGTGCTAAATCTACATATTTTTTCTTTAAATAGAACAATTTCATTCATATACATCCATCACAGACTTTTTCTTGGCAGAAACGGTGCAGGGATATAGTTCTCAACTGGTGACAAATGACCTAAGAGGACATCAATGCTGTAAGAGTTTTATTCTGAAGTGCACTAAAAGCTCAGAATCTGCATCTTCCATGACACAAGCATGCCAAGCAGCAGGCCTGTGTGCTCATGGGTTTTCAATGAACTGTGACCACCGTATTTCCTCAAATACTGACCATGACTTTTATGTACCTCAACTGCTGAAGCAGGTCTGTATCAAGAGGCAGGTTTACTTTCTAATGTCTTGTTTGTTTTTTTAAAAAGATATTTTTGGTCTTGTCTCAGTAGGAATACTTTTTTA